TAATCTTGCAATCATATCTTGTTTTTTTATGGTTTGGATGGCATGGAGTGTCCACAAAGCATTTACCCTTTCTTCATTGAGTTTATCTAGTATTGCTAGTCTCTTTTGAAATGTTTCTTTCTCCCTAAGATTATATTTTGCAGCTAATCTCAAAGAAGGTACAATATATTTCATTAGTGTAAAAGCTTCAACTCAATATAAGTTATACGGAATGATCTCATTCCAGTGGAAACTCAATAGACAACTCTATATCCCAAAGAGCATCAAGAATATGATCATTCCAATCTTTTCCATTTTCCTAAATGATCTTCTGTATGATTGTCTTTAAGACTTTGTTTGTAACTTCTGCTTGACCATTCCCTTATGGGTAATATGGTGTAGGTTTTCTATGTTTTACCAAAAAATTCTAAATCAAGATTTTGATTGTCTCATTAATGAAATGAGTTCCTTTTTCAATCACAATTTCTTGAGGTAGTCCAATTCTAGAGATTACATACTTATAGATGAAATTTGCTGTGCTTTTGGCATTAGTATTTTTAAGTGGTTTTGCTTCCACCCATTTAACTAGCAAATATTTATTTCTCTTGTTGTTTATCATGACTAGTTTAACAAAATTTAAGCCCCATTTCTAAAATGATTCATATGGATATATAAGATTAAGTTCATGACTTTGCTTCTTTTGAGCTAATTTATGTCTTTGACATGTGTTACAATCATAACAAAACTTTGCAACATCTTTCCAAAATGTTAGCCACCATAAGCCTAATTGAGTCAGGAGCATGATAGCCTTCTATGTCAAGTTGGAGAGCTACTTTTAACTTAGGAACACGCCGAAAAAGAAAAAGTTCTAGTAGAGTTCCAAACCTACAAGGATGAAGACTATTATGACAATTAGGAAATCAACAACCTCATCAACAAGATTGTGTAAACTCATAAACACTAGCCCAGTATTATTCAAACCCAAGGACACTTAACCTTAAGTATCCCAAGATGAGCGATACGAATGTATCAACCTGGAGGTTCAGGGCCTTGCCGATTTATCTGAGGTTATCAATCGCCATGAGGCCTTCGCCCATGGTACAAGTAGTGGCGACAAAGATCAAGAACATATCAATAGTGAAGATGGTGTCAGAGATGTTGTAATCACCCCTTAACCAATTAGAAAAGGGGGTGCACTCTTATTTATAGGCCCTTTTCCTCTATATTTGAACCCTATAGACCATCTTTTAAGTCATTCTCTTTAGTTGTTTACAATCCACTATGCTTCCTTACAAGTTTACGCCCTCGTGAATGGAAACTAAGAGCTGCAACTCTCTCGAGAGCCTTGCTCTCTTAACACCCTACCCCTTAGGTCGAGCTCAGCTGAAGCAAATTGGACCTACCAAATGTCAATCAATATGTGGTGTGATTCCCCTAAGCTAACCAACAGAATCAAACTTGAAACCATTCATGGGCCCTTTTCCTTTATATTTGAACCCCATGGATTGTCTCTTAAGTTGTTTTCTTTAGTTGTTTACAAATTGATCCTTAGCTAATGAAAGATTAAAACTAGGCAAGAATCAATTGAGCTTTATGGGATATAGGTTTATTCAATTGTGGGGGAATGAAAAGGTTAGGATTTTCTCTTACTCATGAATTCTTTCGAAGAAATAGTTATTTCTTCATGCTTAGCAGTTAGAGACATATAGTATAAATATCTGGCTATAGGGAAAGCCATGTATCTCCACATTTATATTACTTTTGATTAAATTTATGCATATCCTATTTACATAAGAAGTCAAGTGTTCTTTTTTCTTTCTCTATCTCTCTCTCTCTCTCTCTCTCTCTCTCTTCACTCATATGGTGCTATTGCTTACCCATTTCGTTATGGAGATCAAAGAGTGGAATTTCCTTTTTTTTTTCACTATTTCTATGCCCTTTTAGTAGGTAATAAGAGGTAGAAAAAGTGTGTACCAATGGAATTTGATAATGAGTTCTTTTCAGAAGGACTAAATTGCAGATGCCAATGGCCCAATATAAAATACATTATGTGAAGCTCTTTGTTAAATTACATCCATAGTTTTCATGCTTTATATTTTGCTCTTACATTGCAATCAATAGGAAATAGTCTTTACACATTACTTTAATAATGCACAGAATTGTTGCTAATGCAAAAATATCATACAACTTATTGTGGTTACTATTGATTGTGGTAGTCTATATTTCAATAGTTGTTATTAAGGATCTTTGCCTAGCCTGTGTTTATTATGGTTGGTGTAAGATCCAATGTATGGACCTTACTTTAATGTGTAAAGACTATTTCCTATTGATTGCAATGTATGAAGATTGTGGGCAGTTGTTTAAAAACTAGAAACTTTCACAAAAAAATTGAATAATTTCAATACAGTAAGGAATTCTCACTTAAAAGGTAAAAAGACATACAAATAACACCATTCACTACCATTTGTCCTAATGTCCAATGTAAGTAGATCGAAAACAACCAAGAAGTTTTTCAAATGTAGATTAGATTCGCTGCGAATATCCGTCTAGGGTTTTAAGGTTTTTTTGCATCTGCACTAGAAAATGGAGGAGAAGGGCATGGAAGAATGTATGGAAGGTATGGAGTCGATCTCGTTGGACAAGGCACCGCTGGCGTATTTCTCCAGCAGCGACTACAGGAGCGCCATGGCGGCCAGTGGGGCGATGTCTCCCTCGGCAGATCAGGAGGACGATGAGGACGGTTTTCTTGGAGCTCAATCAGGGCCAGAACCAGATCCTAGGGTCTCAGATTCATCCAGGGAGGTCCCGATCTCCAGGAACGGGGGAAATTCTTCTCAAGAATTTCTCACAATGGCCGTCACGCAGCCTCAGAAGATCCAAGAATCCACGGGCTCCTCGCTGGTTCCCAACATCTACGTGACCTATCTGGTGGTATCGCACACCAACATTCCCGAGTATGGTGGTACGGAGTTTAGCGTGAGACGAAGATTTCGCGACTTTGTCACGCTCGCCGACCGCCTCGCGCTGGCTTACAGGGGCTACTTCATACCTCCTCGCCCGGACAAGAGCATCGTGGAGAGCCAAGTGATGCAAAAGCAGGAGTTTATCGAGCAGAGGCGCGTGGCTCTGGAGAAGTACTTGAGCCGGCTCGCGGCCCATCCAGTTTTGAGGAAGTCCGAGGAGCTCAGGCTGTTTCTTCAAACGAATGGGAAGCTACCTTTGCAGCCATCCATCGACATGGCCTCGAGAATGCTGGATGGAGCAGCAAAGCTGCCCAAGCAGCTCTTTGGCGATAGCAGCACCGTGCTGGCTCCTCAAGAGGCGTCACAGCCTGCCAAAGGTGGCAGAGATTTGATTAGAATTTTCAAGGAGCTGCGGCAGTCCGTCACGAATGACTGGGGGGCGTCCAAGCCTCCTGTTGTTGAGGAAGACAAGGAGTTTTTGGAGAAGAAGGAGAAGCTCCAGGATCTCGAGCTGGAGCTTACTGAGGCTTCTCAGCAGGTTTGGGTTCCCAAGGCCAGTTTTTCTTTTTGCTCTTAACTTTCTCATTTAGGCTGAAGCTCTGATCAAGGCACAGCAAGAGGTTGGGGATGTGGTGGGAGATCTCGGACTTGCTCTGATACGCATCGGAAAGTATGAGTCTCAAGAAGCGACTGGCAACGCTCAAAAGGTCCACGCCACTGATGTCAAGCGCTTGGCAACGGCAGCAGTGAAAGTGAGCCGCTTCTACAAGGAATTCAACGCTGAATCTTGCAAGCATCTGGTAGGTGCTGGTTTTTCATCTGGGAAAAATGTGAACTTGAACTTCCAGCCTTGCAGGACCACTTGCACGATTATCTTGGTCTCATGCAATCCGTGCATACTGCTTTTTCGGATCGCTCCAGCGCTTTGCTGACCTTGCAGACACTGATGACGGACCTCTCGGCGATGCATGCTCGCATCGAGAAGCTGAATGCTTCTTCCTCTAAAACTTTCGGGGGCGATAGATCCAGCAACCGGAAGGTGGAGGAGCTGAACGACTCCATCAAGACAGCGGAGAAGAGCCGGGACAAAGCGCAAGAGGAGTACGAGCGAATCAAGGTAGTGTGCCTTGTTGTCTCCCTCGATACAGATCTAACGTGGTCTATCAGGAACGCAACCGGAGTGAAATCGAAAACTATGAATGCGATCGACAAAGAGACTTTTTCAGCATGCTAAAGGGCTTTGTACAAACTCAGGTAAGTTCTTTCTCTTCTCATCCTGTGTGCTTGAATCGTGAGACTTTTGTGTGTAGGTGACGTATAACGAGAGAATCGCCAGTGTGTGGAGTAAAGCCTTTGAAGAGGCTGGTTCCGCCTCTGTGTAAGCTATTTGTTTCGTGGTTTTTTTTGGTTAATCGACAAATGGAGAAGCAAGAAACTCATAAAGTGGAAATTCTTCCATTTAGACATATTTTTGTTTACCAGGGAGCATCACACTCAAAGTCATACATTTCATATCGCAAGTAACACATATGCCCCACTTCACCCAAGCAAGCAGCAGCACCAATTGCGAGTGGAACATACTTGTCAAACATGGCTTGGATGTTTCTTATGCATGCCCTGCAGCTATCATACGAGTCGAAACCAACAGGGCAAGAGTAGCAACCATAGGCAATAAATTTTCCACTACCTTCTTGGAGATAGCCCCCCAAGATCGTCAAGGTGTACAAGCTTGAATACATGAGCTTTAGATTTGCATGGAAAGGATGTCCCTTGCGTAACCATTTGTGATTGTATCTAAAGGGACTTCCTGCTATTGGACACTTCGGGAAAGTATAAACCTCTGCACAGAAAATTGCCAGTATCAAAAACACTTTCAACAGTGCCATGAGGTTCCGTGACTAAGTTTATTAGAAAATTAAGAATAGATTAGAACCTCAGATTGAACGCCCAACGAACTCCACAGCTCAGAAGCCACTTGTCGATACTTACACCGCTTTTCTTATTATTATTATAATCATTATTTGTTTCGCTTTTTTTGTTTTTTTTTTGTTTGGGAAGTTACGCTTTTGATTTTAGAGTACAAGTGACTCTGATTTGTGACTCAAACAAAGCGCCCTGGGCTCCAACGTTTGGTTCCAGTGGCATTCCTTGAACCAATTCCTTTGCGGTATTGAGCTGCCCTGTCCGCCCCAAAACATCCACCATCAGTGAGAAATGCTCCTCCCAATGCTCTAGATTGTGATCGAAGCTCATAGACAAGAACAGGTTACACGCTTGTTCTATGTGTCCCTTGTGGTTGCAAGCCACCAAACAATTGAGAAACGAAATCTCACTTGCGTCCAAGCCATGGACACACATTCCACGGAAAAAATCCATTGCATGTTCACCATAGTAGGCCTCGCCGCCAATCAGTGTGTTCCACGATGCAGTGTTGCGCTCCGGCATTGTGGAGAACAGCCTCCTTGCCTCCTCCAAATCTCCAGCTTGGGAATACGCTGCTAACATCACGTTCCATGAAACGTTATCTCGCTCTTGCATGGAATAGAACGTTGTCTCTGCACGAGAGATATTTCTATCGCCGACATACGCCGCTAGCATGGTATTCCACGTCATTGTGTCCGCATCGGGCATTTTTGCAAAAAAGCTCTCCACAGCATCAAAATGCCTGGCCGCGGCATATCCTAAAATCAAAGTTGTCCACGACACAATGTCCCATTCTGGGCACAAATCAAACCGAGACTTGGCTCCCTCTAAGTCTCCAGTGTAAATAAAAGCAGAAATCACCGCATTGTAGGAGACCACATTTTTCTCGTGCATGGTTTGGAGGAAACGTATACATTCTACTAGATGCCCTCTGTTGGCATATGCCTGAAGCATCACCGTACACGAGACAAGATCCCACTCTGGCATGGAATCAAAAACCCGCTTTGCTTCGGTGAGATCACCTTTCAGAGAAAACGCTTCAAGCATGGCAGTCCAGGCTAGCGTGTTCCTTTCGGGCATTTTGGAGAAGAGGTCTTTAGCTCTAGCTATTAGACCCTTTTCGCAAAACGCGGCAACCATGGTTGTCCATGTAACAAGCGTCGCTTCTGGGATCCATGCAAACATACTCTCGGCGCTGGAGAGATCACCCAAGTTTGCGAATCCAGATACCATGGAATTAAAGACCACGACGTTCCATCTGGGCATAAGATCAAACAACCTCTTTGCGCTGCTCAAATCTCCCTTCTTTACAAACGCCTGGAGGAGTGAGGCCCAAGAAACAATGTCCCTGTCCGGCATCGTATCAAACAGCTGTTTTGCCTTACGCAAATGCCCAGCATTGGCATAAGCTGCAACCAGCGTATTCCAAGTCACTCGATCTCGCAATGGCAAAACTCCAAACAGCTCCTCCGCTTGGGCAATACCTCCATTGCGGACGTAGCCCGAGAGCAGGATATTCCACGAGTGCTGGTTGGGACACTCGAGCGTTTGAAAGGCAGAAAGGGCATCTTGGAGGCTGCCACACCTGGCATATGCTTTGACGATGAGATTCACGAGCTGGACATGGCGGTGGAGTTTCCTCTCAACTAAAGTTCTCTCTAGGTCTTTCACTTGCGAGATGGTAGAAGCACGCCCGATCAAAGTGATAACCTCATGGTCCATGTCCAAAACATTGCAGCTAAGTTGTTAGATTATGCCATGACGAACAAAAAGATCTTTGGATTTCTGGAAATCCAAGAGCTAGAAATCCTTGAGGATGGCCTTGATTTGCTCCAGGGTGACGAACAGCACCACCGAGAATGGCGCCTGCCTTGTCAAGGTCGGCAAAAATCCCCTGTAGAGAGCCATGGCGCCCTCTCCCCTCACAGTCTTGATCGCGCAGTCCAAGCTCCCGCTATACCTGGCGTCCCCCGCGCCCACGCTCATCACCCTCGTCTTGATCACGTCCACGGGATTGGACGCCACCGACGCCACAAACCCCGCGACCAAGCTCGCCCCGACGTGCGTCGCCAATCCCTCGCGGCAGATCCCTCTCCCCGCCAGGAACTCCTTGCTCTGATCGTAGGTCGTGAGCTGCGCCGCCGTGACGATCATCGCGCGCTGGATCGTCGGCCCCGACCCCGTCCACAGCGATCCAATCCCTTCCTGCCGCGCGATCCTGGCCAGGGCGTCGCCGACCCCGAGGTATCTCCGCCGCTGCCACACTGGGAGCCTGCCATCGCCTTGCATCCTCACCAGCGCCACATCCGCGGGATTCCCTACCGCGGCGCCGATCCCTCCAGCGATCAGCCCGGCCGCGAACTTCTTGTGGACTGCCAGATCCAGATCGGCATTGCTGGGATCCAATCGCTTCTCTCGCCACGCCTCCTTGATCGCGTCGTAGAGACCTAGCCGCGTGGTGGAGTAGAGCCCCTGGCGGAGAATGGCCGCCGAGACGCCCGAGAAGAGCGCCTTGGCGCCCTCTGTTTGAAGAACCCTAATCCCGACCGACAGAGGCCCTGTTCTTGCCGCCGCCGCCACTGGCGAATCTCCCGCTGCGATTGGGAGCTGCATTCTCACCTTGATGAGATCCAGTGGATGCGTCATGGATCCCGCGACGATGGACGCGGCACCACCTTCCACGAACGCTTTCCACCCCATTTTTCCTTCCTCCCTCCTGGCGCGACCCTAGAGATCGCGTAGAAGCAGGCGCTCCTCGCTAGAAAATCCAGAGTCTCTCCAGGAGCTACATCGTGGCTCTTCGCATTCTCCCTCGCGAAGAAGTAAAACGGAGAAAGACCACGAGAGATATTCCATTTCCAGATGCGGTATATCCCTCCTAGAGCATCGACTTGATTTGCGGTGGAAGGGATTCGAACCCGGCGTGCTTGTCGTTGTCAGCGATGAACTTCGCGAATCGCAAACCTTTGCCTTGGTTCTTAGGATCAAAAGGAGGCCGAGGAGCGGTTTTTAGAGGATCAACCATCGACCACACGGCAGACAATCCAGTGTCTTTCTTGTCGAGCTCTGAGAGCAGTGAAAAATCTGGAAGTAAAGATGATCAAACTTCTGCGAGGAGAATTTGATAGCTGTCTTACCATCGGACTCGGCGAACTGGAGCACTGGGCGTAATGCTGCCGAAGGAATGCTGAAGTTTAAGTATGGGATCACTGTGACTCCACCATGTTTTGCGTTACTGTGTGAAGTAAAAGGAAGTGTAAGCTCTTCTCTGCTGGAAGAAAAGCGTACCTTGTTACCAAGCCGATCATACGACCTTGGCTGTTAACCACAACGCCACCACTTCCACCGGGATGAACAGCGGCAGTCGTTTGAAGCATCACAGGTGTGTTTGATTCACACTCTTGCGGGTTTGAAACGATCTCGCGGCTATTCACGACTCGTGAGATAACTCCGATTGTTATAGAGGGTCCTAGCTCTGCAAGTTCACAAGAAGGAAGTTAACGCCAACGAAAAGCGATTCTTGCCTGTTCGGGGCCCAAAAAGTCCATGGCCAATCACAGCTACTGCTGATCCAGGAACTGGCTCTGTGGTGTCGACTGGAATTGGTTCGAGCTCGTAAGGCACCGAGGTGAGTTGCAAGAGAGCAACGTCCAGTGGTCCATGCGAGACAAATACTACTGTCGCAAAATGCCAAGAACGTCGCTGTTGGCGCTCGAGACGTACTTGAACGGGTGAATACTGCCCACGATTTGATACGTTGGCCACCTCTATGAAATCGTCCCGAAGCAACGGATCAACTGTTAACCTTCTGAACCTCCACGGCTCCAAAAGATGAGCATTTGTCAATATAAGGCCCGACTTGTTGAGAAGAGTTCCTGATGCCCAGCTTCCGTTGCTTGTTGTTAGAAGAACTATTGATGAAAGTGCCATTTGAATGTGCTTATTACTTTGCAACTTCTCGTTGTCAAAGATGTTGTACATCACGTTGAAACCAAGTTCTTCCAGTTCTGACGCTAGAACCTTGGCTGGTAAGATAAGCTGTTTCAAAAGAAATAAGATAGAAAGATAAAACGTCTCTACACAGCTTACTTGAACTTCAACTCCAGAACTGCGCTGACGCAGTGGCCTAAGAAGAATCCCAACAAGATTACCAGCAGCATCAAAAACAGGGCCACCTTCCATGCCTGTAAACAAGAATTTAGTTTGCAATCACCAAAAAGAAGCATTAAAATCGAACGACCTCACACGATATATCACCAGAGCTCACCAGGAAGAGCACGGATATCAGCCATTAAAATGAGCCTAGATGACGACGGCCAGCAATTGGAGACATTGCCAACCGAAACGCTGGCAAACAAATTCCAGTAAAACCCAGTCAGTTGCGGAATGGCTCTCTACCTGTTAAAAAAATGCAGAGGTGATAGCGCACCAAAAGGTGATCCAATTGCTCGGACAACATCGCCTTTGGTACAAACACTTGAGAGCATCAGTTCCTGCACAGAATTTGTACTTCAAGTTTTAGGACGAAAGACTTGAAAAGAAAAGAGAAAAACAAACCGTAGTATTTGCTTGGACGCTGAGGACAGCTATCCTTGTAAAAGCTGCTGCTAGAGTAGCTGTGGTCTTAGGCACAGCACCCTCTTTGCTGCGAGAAAAATCGCTCTAAAACGCAGCGCAGCTTAAAATATAAGATAAATTGCAAACGTGAACTTACCACTGTGGCATTCTCCGGACGAGATTCTTGAGGATTTGCCACACTCCAGCCCATTTCCCACAACTCATCGCCTCCTTGCACGTCGAGTAAGGATCTCACCGCTTCTGATGCCCGCTTCACATGCACCTGGATCAAACACATGTAGAAAAAAGACCCTGTGAAGAACTGCTACTGTTTACCAGTTTTAAAATTTGCGCTGGAAGCCAAAGTGGTGTGGATCCAAATTCATTTGAGCTAGGAGGAGCCTGAAACTTTCAGAAATAAGAAGAAAACAAACAACGAAGAAGAAAGAATGAGTGATTACTTGCAGAAGAACTTCTAGAGTCGCGCCTCGAACGAGTTTGATCGAGTCTTGGTCCTAAGAGATCGCTGTGACTCCAACTTAAAAGCAATCAAAAAAATTTTACCGCAAGATCGCTAGGCGATAGATACGGCTCCACGATCGAAGCGCAAGTCACCGCCGCCGCCGATTTTCCAGCGATCGGCAGCAGCAAACCGGATGCCGAGAGAGTAGTCTCGCCCGATCTGTCACGGCTCGTGAGGAGAAATCAAGCACAAGAACACCATACTCTGATGCGTGGAAAGCATGGCGCAGCATCTTCCGCGACTTTGGATCCTAAGAACAGCGAGAATGCAGCTCAAATCCAGCGCGCGCGCGAGATCATCACTTACTGGGCCGCGGATTCGCACCATCACAGCGCAGTGCGCCTCCATCCCCTCGGTAATGATTGATTGAGAGAATTAGGGCTCTTATGCTAGAATTTCGAGATTGGCTATGGCGTCGTGAGAGGCGCGCGGAAGAGATAAACGAAATCGCTCAATGGCGTCGGCGATTCTCTCGCTCAGCTCGGGCGCCGCCACGGCGCTGGAATCCTCCAAGGTACGCCTGCCCTGCGCCATCGCCAGGCGTCCCACATTCTCCCTCAAGTCGCAGCCGCGCATCGGCATTGCAAATCCTCTCATCGCCAGCGGGAGGAGGAGCAAGCAATCCGCGCTGCTCGTGACCGCCGCATACAAGGGACGGCTCCGCGCGGATCCATCCATGACCGATCCCAACGACGACGTGGGGATGAGCACGGAGGAGATCAAAGAGGCCTACGAATCGCTCTACGGGCCGTCCTGGGAACGAAAGAAGGCGTCCGAGAGCACGGCGGAGGAGGAGGAGGAGCGTGGCGGCGGGAGAAGGCGGCGGGGAGAGGAAGGAGGCCCCGGAGGGATGGGGGGGCGGCGAGGGGGATCCAAGGATGGATTGGAGGAGTCCGTGGTCCAGGTCCGGCGAGTGACCAAGGTGGTGAAAGGGGGCAAGCAGCTCCAGTTCAGGGTGGTATCGGTGGTGGGTGACAAGAAGGGAAAGGTTGGAGTTGGAGTTGGAAAGGCCAAGGAGGTGATCGCGGCTGTCCAGAAATCCGTCAAGGATGCCAGGAGGAACATCGTCACCGTGAGGATGACCAAGTACAAGACTTTCCCTCACAGGTAACTCTGCTTGTTCTTGCTCAGAGTGTGGTGATACTCCTGTGATCCTTGGGAGTCTCGGTTTCCTTTGCTCTAACTCTCTCGCCACAGGGTGGACGGGCACTACCACGCAGCGGACGTGATGCTCCGCCCAGCGTCGCCGGGGACGGGCATCATCGCGGGCGGCGCGGTGCGCGTCGTCCTGGAGATGGCCGGCATCGAGAACGCGCTAGGCAAGCAGATGGGGAGCGACAACACGCTCAACAACGCCAGGGCCACACTGCACGCCGTGTCGCAGCTCCGCCACTTCCATGAGGTGGCGGAGCTCCGTGGGATCCCCATCGAGGTGCTCTGGAAGTGAGAGAAGCTCCACAAGATGTACAAGAGAGAAACAAGGAATCAAACAACATACATTTTTGTAACAGTGGTGTCTCAGTTTGAAACTCTGGTAGATCGGCTACGCCAGCTTTGAAGAACTGTGGTCTCTAGGTTTAGAGACTTGTAGAGGAAGCTTTTTCTTGGGTGGCGGGGCTTTTAGGGTTGAGAGGAGCGATGGGGCATAAGACCAAGGAGAAGCAGAAGAAAAAGGCGGCTCCACCGGCTAGCCCTGTCTCTCTGACCATCCTCTACTACGAGCTTCGCAAGGACTGGCCGGTGCCCCAGAGGCTTGCCGAGTCGAAGATGGACGATCTATGCAACGACAGTGGTTTTGTGGCTGACGTGGACGAGTGGCTCAACGCCTTAGGCCTCTCGGAAGAGGTCGGCGTGGAGCGAAACCTTCATCCTCATGGTAGGGGAGGCTGGGCCGTGCGTAAGTTCATAGAACAGGGCGGCTTTGTTGCGTACTGCCCTAATGCCAACAGCAAAGATCACACTGGACTGCTATACCGGCAGGCGCTGCGTTCCCAGGAGTATGCGAGTGCCCAGGCAGGCATGTTGCTCGTGGAAGAGGCGGCGCAGGCAGCGCAGGCAGCGCAGGCGGAGGAGAGGAAGAAAGGCAAGATGAAGGAGGAGGCAGCGGTAGAGGTGGCGGCGCAGGAGATGGAGGAGGCAGCGGTAGAGGTGGCAGGTAGCAATTCCGTGGCAACACTGATCACTGCCTTGAGAAAGGAGTTCCAGCAGCAGTTCACGCACCTGCAGGACCAGATCACTGCTTTGGAAGAGAAGACCACTGCTTTGGAAGAGAAGATCACTGCTGTGGAAAACAAAAGCTCGGTGCTGCGGGAGCGGATCACTGCTTTGAAAGAGAAGATCACTGCTTTGGAAGACGAGAACTCGGTGCAGCGGGAGCGGATCACTGCTTTGAAAGATGAGAACTCGGAGCTGCGGGAGCAGATCACTGCACTGAATAGGGAGATGCCTTCGATGCCGCCGATCTTGCTTGCGCTCAAAGCCATGTACAAGAGGAAGCTAGTGGAGTCATTCAGAGTGAAAGTAGCAGGCATGTTCCCGGATGCGGTCTGGAACGGGGACGTCCCTGATGTTGGGTGGTGGTGCGGCTTCATCCAGGACCCCAGCCGCATTGCAGTTCTCTCTTCGGCATCGGGAATCGGTTTTGATGTGCCGACGCTTGCGAGGACGGGCTACGACCACCGATCAATCCGAGGAGTGGCTCCACATGGGATCACCGAAGAGCCTGAGGTCTATGCCACTTTTGTCTGTCAGTACGGTGGCACTGCGCTGGAGCAGATGAAGAAGATCTATCAGCTGGTCTTCGAGCGAGACGCTGCCGAGGATGCCGTTGAGGACGTGGAGTGCTGCCACTGTCCAGTCCATTGTCCGCCGGTGGAGTAAGTATTAATCTTCCTTTCCAAAAGTTTTATTGATTTTTCTCTTATGCAGGGCGTGAAAACGGGGACTCCTTCCAGAGGACAAGCCACACGCAGCGTCTCAAATCCTATCTTCCATAACTTCCAGCTTTGAGCTTGTTTGCCGTCCTTTTTCGTTTTTATTGATTCTTAAAATACTAATCTGAAGCCAAGCAAAAGATAAAAACGCGGTTAGAGAATATCTATGATCTGATAGAAGAAGTAAAACAGTACTGTCTGGGCAAGTGTGAATTTTTCTTTACATACCAAGGGAGTATTGCGAGCCTGTTCACCCAACCCGGAATTGAAAATCCTGTGCACGCGTCGTTCGTGAAGTGATTGCAGTTCTTCACGATCGGGTACGAGTCGCCATTGTAATCGTTTGCGGGACGTTCTATTCTGGCACCAAGACCAAGGCACACTGACTTTTGAAAAGTAAAACCCAGGCATGTCCTCGGCTAAACACCGCTAGACGGATAGTCTTGGTGTTGAGTTTGGCCGGAAGTTTTCCATGCCGGGGACTTCTCGCTCGTCGCCCGTCACCCCGCAAACAAGGCTCAGAAGCTGCTTGTATGCCCGTGGAGATTTCATGGCCATGTCGTGTCCACACAAGGTGCAAAGAACACTCTAGAGACCTCCTTTGCTTATCTGGAACGCGGTTACGCCACGCATCAATCACTGTGACGTACACAGCGCGGTACGTGCCGCGGGCCGGTTGTAGCACGCTCTTGCTCTTCTGGAATGGAAACGAACAGATAAAGCAAAAACAATCAAGTATACTATAAACAATCCCGAGAAAAAATCACAATCAAGCCATGGCGAGCAGTGAGAGCGCCACGATCGCTGCTCCAGATCCAAGCGAGAGCGGGAAACTTATCGTTCTATAACCAGCGGAACTTTCTTGCCCAGCAACTCCACCCGACGGCGATGGAGATGGAGCGAATGCCTCGTCCTGCGGCTTGATCTCCAGCGCCATCTTGAGCCCCGACTGGCAATCGTTCCCATTGCCGCTCGTGTAGTAATGCATTCCCTGAGGCGGTACCACCTTGAACAAAGTTCTTCCATCATCTTGCCGCGTGGGGAGTCCGAGCACCGGCAAGAAGTAGGACTCGTTGCAAAGCTGGTAGCCGGGCTCCCACACTTCCACCACTGAGTGCTCCGAGGCATTGAACAAAAACCCTGGAAAAATCCCAAGATCATTCCCAGAAATGGAGAGAAAAAATCTAGAGAACTTACTGAAAGAGTCTCCGAAGTAGAAGTTTTTGTTGGCAGTCCACTGCGAGTAATTCACACCCGGAGCCCATCCTTGATCATCTCCAACCGTGTACTCTCTCGGAGTGTAAACCGGCGGAGATTGGACGCTCAACATAAACTTCTTCCCGGTCTTGCAATTGTCCTGGACCGATGAAACGTAATAGTTTTCTCCCACCCATGGCACCACCGTCTCGTTCCACGTCGTCTTCCAAGGAGCCGGGAAAATCTTGGGGAAGCGCAAATCCCACTCGCAGTTATTATAGACAGATTGTGACACCCTGAGGATGGTATCACTCGTGGAAACTGTGAAAACTGCGAGAGATTTTTGTTGTTTAAGTCAAGAACACACCGAAGATAGGTGTAGAAATTTTTACTTACTCAGTAAATCACCGGCGTGGAAGACTCTGCCTTGAGACCACTGCGTGAAATTCACGCCATTTGTCCAATCGCCCACGTAGTAATCCGTTCCTCTGGCAGCAGCACCAAGAATGGCGAACGCGACGAAGCAGCAAGCTATCGCGAGAACCTTCATCACTCTCCCCTGACCAAGGATTGAACAAAGAGAAGTGGGATGAGTGTTCTTGCGGCTCCAGAAGAACTCGTCTCTTTATGTGACGTGGTCCTCGAATTTCAATAGCTTGTCTCTAGAAGATGACGACTGACTTGTTGTCACGGAAATTGCCACGAATAGAAGCTGTGCTTTTCTGGAACGCACAAGAAAATCTAAGAGTAAATGACTATTAGAAACTTCATACGCGGATTCACCAAACAGTCCATGGAAGACTAGCATTAATTATTTAAATATCTTAAAATGTAAAAAGTCTGATTTCATTGTTTAAGCAAACCTTGAACATATTCCGATGATAAGCTAAGTAGGAATTCAAGTACACAAGCACAATATCACCAAATTCATGTTTAAGGTCATAAGGTGCTTGGAGGATTTCAATATGTCTCTTCGATTAACAAAGCAACATTTTTCAAAGAGTCTCTTAGTCTTTAGAAGGCTTTTTCTGTGTTTGGCTTGAAGAATGTCATCATCCCATTTTATAAATACCTACCTGTAGATAGATTACAAGCCAAGTTTCTCCTAATTTCTCATCTAACGTCAGAGCTGCTCCATGCACTGGTTAAGATTGTAGCAGCCATACACCAATTCTACCTCCACATACAAGTGGAACTCAATGCTACAGTTTCAATTATTAACGATCCTGGGTTCAAGCAAGGTTGTCCGCACCCCTCGAGACAATTTTGAACAACAATCCCTCTCCACAATTCAAAATTCAAATAGCAGGACTCTACCTACATCTTCTCCTCTATACCGATGCTTGTTCGCACACAATTGCAGTGCCAACACACCACACTTCAGGACTTCTGCAACAAACAGGGATTACAGTCAACATCGCTAAAACACAGCTTGAACTGCCACACCAGTACAGAGGGGAAGAGATCATCCAAGTCACCAGCTACAAAGTACCTTGGTCTACAACTCCACTGCAAGCGCACATCAGTGAAACAGTGCGAGGCAGCTGCTCAAATAGTTTACTACTCACTGTTTAGCACTATGTGCATGTTGTCTATTTCAGATGGGATGCAAGGAAAACATTTTACTATGAGAGTCACCACATCTCTCCTTTATGGCATCACAGCTACTCAACGAAAGTTTTTTTCATCACAACTTCAAAACTGGATGCATAATGCCATATGAAATTCTCTGTATGACAGAAGTACAAGCATGGAAAGAAAGAATGCAATTTATCCTTACTACCCGGAAAGGAATAACGTGGCAGTGATTATCGACTCTATCCACCTTAATCATGAATTCCAGAAAGGATGGTAGCATAGCTATGTTGCTTGGACTGCTCGACCTTAAAAGTCCTATGGTTGTTACTTCTTGGGTTGGACTCACATTTAAGGAATGACTTGCAAGACCATACTTCACATACATCAATCCTCAACAACAGCTTGGACTTGCACTCTATCATGCAGCCACTCCAATTGCACACTAGATCTTCCTTTGATTTAGAATTGGAGCACATTCTCGACTATGCCTCTACTCCCCAGCTCTAGACTTCCACTTTCAAGATCTTTCCACCTTTCTAGGGAACTCGAAAATGGCCACTGCTGCTGCAACGCTCTTGAACACACTAGAAGACTGTAAAACAACATGATTGAAATATTCAATCCCGTGTTTCTTAGAGAAAGAAGTGAGTAGTAAATATTAGTGTGGTCAGCAGTGACTTTAAAACTGTCTATCTATCTATCTATCTATCTATCTAATTTCCTCTAAAATGAAGAAATAGAATTTATGTAGATTTAATCCAAACAATAATAATATATTAAGAATATTCTCACACAAACTAAATCACATTAATCTTGAACTTGAACCTTTTAGTTTAACGCCTTTAACTTAAGGTACATAGGGAAGTGGAGATTAAAGTTAAACTTCTTCAAATAATTTAGTAAATAAAGTTCTATTTTATTAATTAAGGGTTAACTTTTGACCTCGATCGAAGAGAATGCAAGCTTCTTCGAGCTGGTTTCTCTCGGCCAGTGTTGTGATATTGTTGACCACGATGCAACGTTCTTTTGTGGCACATTTTACTGAAAAACTCCTTGGCTTTGTCATTATGCTCAAGCTGGGCATATGCAGGGACAAGAACAGTTCATCCCAGCTCGTTGGTTTCGGGGATTCCCATAAACAAACTTAGCGCGTCTTTAACAAGACCTTTTCTTGCATACCCAGTAACCATAACAGCCCAAGAAACTATGTTGTGTTCTAGCATTCCATCAAAGACCGTTGATCCATATGCCCGTTATGGGCATATACTGTAAGTAGAGAGTTCCAGAAAACTACATCCCATTCTGGAACCTGATCAAACAATGCTCGGCATTCCTCAAAGTTTCCACGGTTTTCACAGGCCTTCATAAAAATCATCCATGCAGAAACATCCCTTTGTGGCATCTGATCAAACGGCTCTTTGCTTCCTCAAGATACCCACTTTGGGCATAAGCGCCAAGCAGCAAGTTCCAAGAGAATCTATTGGACTCGTGGATGCTGATAAACACCTGCCAATGCTCGATCCGCGCGCTCATAGAGTTGGATGAGAAGATTTGCGAGGTACCTGCTTCCCAAGGATGAGCGCGTGGCGCCTTGACGCAATTCGATGCAAGCTGTGAGAAGTTGCGCGTAGTATGCGCGCTGCTCTAGATCGGCCACCCGTGGTGAGGCGGGGGGACTACTGTCCGACCAGCAGGACCGGGCAGCACTGACTGCCGCGTTCTAGAGGCTTGAATCAGTACGTCTGCGTGGTAGTACCGGTGTTTTCCTGGATAGAGCTTTGATTTTTCAATGCCACTTTTTCTTCATCTCTCTCCTATTTAAAGGCGCTTTCAAAGAACAAGCCAAACTTTGCAAAACAATCCCTGAGAGGAAACTATCGATCACAGAGCCGCCATACCAGCGCCGTCCTCGAGGGCATCGGTGGCAGGGAGCGCCTTTGCAACATGGCGAGAACCGAAAACAACACCAAGCAAGCCTATGAAACAAAGAGTTCAACTTTGTTCTAGTATATTCGAGTTGATCTGTGAGGCCGCTTGTATTTTTATAGCTCGAGGCAGCATACAATGCTTGAGTGGCCCCTCTTGGGACGGCATCTCTTTGTCCTTTAAAAGTTAGTCGAGGAAGTCGTTCCGTGTTTGTCAATTCCTTTTCTCTTCTGTAATGCTGGGACATAGAACAACACAGGAAGTGAAGCTGTGAATCCAGATGAGTAAAGACAACATTTCTAGTTTTTTCACAGTTTATATAATATATGAACTCATGCATCACCACGCGCTAGATTTCACTGCCACTGGGAAGAACAAAAATCCAAATAAATAGTTGGATCTTAACGATCTTTAGAACAGAAATGTGTGTTTCATTTCATTCTCGATCGAGAGAGGTTATACGTGGTTGGGGTATGTAATTGCTAAACTTTGTCTTGGACAAATTTGTCTCCACTACTGCGTCATATTTCCATCTTGTTGCTTTTCCAATTTCATTGACAAAAATATATTTAATATTATATATAATATAAATTTGAGTCTAGATTATATGAAAAAAGTTCCTATATATTAAAAGTCGATACGTTACACAACTTTGCAGAAAACGCACCATGTTTATCATTGACAGTCTCAGGGCACCAAACACGTGAATAGACTCCAAAACATCTTCGTTCACCTTTTCATGATTCGAGATTCGTTCCCGTGGTTCTTCGAGGCAATTCTTCAGTGGAGGCCGCCACCCTCGATGGCAGCTGTTGTCATACCCGTACCAATTGCATTGCGCGCAGCGAAATCCATCCCTCTGAAGCAGCGATGCGCCATCGCCTTGGTGATCCTCCCGACCTCCACTCCCACCGCTAGGTGTGCCTGGGCCTGGTTTTGATGCTCCAATCGAGTCTTATTGCTTGCCGATCATTGGAGCAATCGACTGGAAGTCGAGGGACTTGGAGGAAGGAGCAAGGGCAGATTCAGACATTTTATATCAAGGCTTGGACAATTTATATTTTATTGCTGGAACTCATGCAATGCCATGCAGCATCGCACGATACAGAAAACACGTCATCAGTGTCTTTATTCTTGTTTCCAGACCCTTGGCACTGCAGAGCGATGAAATCAAAGGCAATTACGATGCTGATTCTTAACTTGGCCTTACCCCGTGAAACTGGAGGTTTCAGTTGCGCCAGCAGCGATTGTTGCGCCAGCTCCAACCCCTCTGGCAACGGTGGCAACTGTTGTCATACCAATACCACCCCGACTGGCAGCGCTGGGCAGCAGCCTTTGCGATTCCTCCCACGTCCACGCCCATGGCCAGCATCATCACAAATATGGCGAGTGCCAAAAACAACACGAAGAAAGCCTTGTTCTCCATGCTTTGCTGCTTGTTCTATTAGAGAGAAGTGGTTTGATCTGTGAGGCAGGAGGGGCTCATATTTATAGCTCGAGCCAGCACACAAAGCGAGAGAGTTGTCGTGGGACGGCATTGCTTAGTCCTTATCTAATTTGGTTCCGTGTTTGAGAATTTCTTCTCGTTTCTATAATATCTCTCCAACCCTTCAAATGAGGATCACAAATCGCCATGCTAGTTGAATATGGGACGGTTGAGATCATGTTAGATCGACGGCTTCGATTAATTAATACGACAGCCAAGATTTTACACACTGTACGGCTCAAATTGGTCCAGAAAGTTTTAAATGCACGGTCTAGATTGTACAAGAATGACTACTATTCTTCTATTTGTACGAAAATACCATTCGTTTACCGTACACATTAAGTACTTAGCTTTCAGACACTTTAATGCCCTAAGAAAGGGGAAGTAAGCAAGCGCGAGTGTTCTCTGGTAAGCAAGCGAGTTTGAGCTGAAATACTGCGACTTTCTCTGGTAAGCTTGATCTCTGACTATGGCTCGCAAAATCTCCACGCCACCGCCCCCGCCGCCTCATCGGGAGCACGCGAGGAGGACGCCGCCGCCCAAACCATCGCCAAAGAGGACACCGACAACTTCATCTCCGCCACCAAAGAGGTCTCCACCGGCGCCAGCCAAGAGGCACACAGAGGGACATCACTCACCAGC